TTCTTGCTACCACCAGCAGTAAGAGACCGTTTCTTGCATTCCGACTTGAGATCGGGAAGAGTCTGAGCAGAGTATAGAGAGGTTCTGTCTGCAACGTTGGCAGGCTGGGCAGACTGAGCGCCAGTGATGTGGAGGTTCCGGCGAAGACAGGGAGTAGCCGGGTTCTGCTGAGAGAGAATGCGCAAGGCACGCAACGAATAGGAACGGGGAGCAGCCATTGTGGTATATAGAGTTGGAGAGATGATTGGGAATGAAAATGTGAATGCGAAGAAGATGAAAAGATGAAAAGATGAGAATGCAGAAGCGAGAGGGTGAGAGGGATGGCTATTTATGAGATGACGAAAAGGAGATGAAAACAGCAATGAATGCCAATGCTTGTTGTTGGGAAGATCGGTGGGGAGATCTGGCCCGGTCGATGCTGGAGTGATGCGATGTACTGAGTAGAGCTCAGTATAGTAGGAGAGGACAGATTGATACGTGAGAAGAGAAGAAGGAAACAACGGAAGGGAGACAACGAGGGTATTTATGTCTTCCAGAATAGCAGCAAAAGTAATTCTTCTGGTAATCCTATGACTACACTGTTGACTTTTCTACAGGGCGATCCTCCGCAGTCGACTGGTTCTCGGTTATGCTTCCCCACGTATTGTTCGGAAAGCACTTGCGGAAAGACTTCCTTTAGACCTCGGAATTTTGAGTATGACTGTTGGCATTAGCATTCAATTATTAGAGTTATTTAGTCTATTCTATTTCTTATTAGATATCTTATTAGCATTTAGATTTGTCCTTACTCCGTACTCTGTCAGACCGTACTACAATCTCCGGGTTTCGACCTACTCTACTCCGTTCTCCGTACGGACCCCGTCCTCGACCCAACCCATTATTTCCCCTCATCCTACATTGCATAATAATACATGGCATAATAATACATGGCACTACTCCGTACAACACTAGCCAATGGCCAATAGCTGCCTCAGGATGACACATCTCAACGTTGAGAGCGGTGAAGACACGTGAGAAGATCATCCCATCCTGTATCCAATTCTACAGCGTACAGCCAGGAACATAACATAATTCGTCTGACGTGGTCTCAGCTAATGTCACCGTAACTTTCCGTTTTGAGATCTCGGAGAGTTCCAACTCTCAACAGAAGAATGTTCCCGTGATAGTTTATTCAATGTAGATAGGGGTTCATTCAGGCCCGCCCCGGGAATGCGATGATGTGGACTGGCTGCATTGAGCAAGCATGACTGAGGCGGCCGCATTTTACTTACTACATACTGCTACTGCTATTACTCTGTATGTATTTCCAAACAACAGGCGGTTAACACGTGTTGATTCTATCTGTAATCTGCGCTGGTATTTCACAGCTTCACTGCACGCCTTCGAATCACCGCCCGAGCGTACGGATGTTTGGCCGAATCAGGGACCAAATGGTCGACATCGCCCGTATGCACCAAATCTGGACTAGCCTCATCCAACCGCGTGATTCCTGTATTGCGCATCGCTGTTTCCAATTCATCGCGCATGACTTGACTGGTCAGTACTATCGACTTGGAACCAAAGGGCCAACGACTTACTATCGATTAAATGCCCCACCCCCTCCTGTCCATAGTTCGTCGCAAAGAGCATGCTCCGACCCATTCCCACGGCTGTCGCACCTAAACACACGGCCTTGAGGATATCAGTACCTCGGCGAATCCCGCTATCTACGTAGATCTCCATCCTATCGAAAATCTCCGGGCATCGTTTGTGCAGTTCTAAAAGCGTGATGATGGATGGTGGGCTGGTGTCTAGATTCCGTCCGCCGTGATTGCTCAGTAGAATCCCGTCTAACCCCGCTTTCATGGCTAGTACAGCGTCGTCCGCTGACATCACACCCTTTAGACACACAGGGAGATGTGTATGTTGTCGCACCCATTTCAGATCTTCCCAGGTGAGGCCAGGGTCGATAAACCCCGCCATTACACGGCCTAGACCACCGCCTTTTTTGTCATTTTTTGCTTGGGATGGTGCCATTGGCACTGATAAGCTCTCATCTGCGCGGACGCGCTCGTCCGCTTCTCGTTTGCCGGGCCAGGATGCGTCGACTGTCACGAAAATGGCTTTGACGTTTGGATTGGCGGAGCATTGTCGCAGGAGTGCTGCAGATTTCGCACGGTCCCGGTTGACATACAGCTGGAAGAAGAAGTTGCCCGATGGTGCAGCGGCCCGAAGTTCATCCATCGTGTAGGACGAATTGTTCGATATCTGCAATCAGTTAATCAGCGCACACAAGCCAACGCAAAGATAAAGAGGTGCGTACACCTTGCATAATTCCCCTACTCTCACAAGCCCGCGCGATCGCACACTCTCCATCCGGGTGAATCAACTTCGCCATAGCTGCGGGACTCGCAAACAACGGCAACCTACCATCAACACCCAGAATCGTCGACCTTGTATCGACTTCCCGCACATTCCTCAGTACCCGCGGTCGGAACCAAATCCTATCAAAGTATGACTTATTTGCATCGCGTGTAAACAGATCGGTAGCTGCGCTGGAGTAAAACGCCCACGTCTTGGGACTAGCAGTCTTGGACGCGACAACTTGGAAATCGTGTGAGTTGATCAAGGTGTGGAGAGGCGGTTTTTCGTGCTCAAGGAGTAATTGTGGATTTGCACTCGGGGGCTCTTTGAGCCAGTCGTCGGTGATGGACGATTCGTCGAGAAGGCCGATGTATTTATCTGGTGGGAGGTTCGATTTCAGGACGCTTGGGGCGTGGACTTCGGAGTAGGCTTTTGTCGCGTCGCGGCCGGCGTACTTCAGGATAACTAGACTGTTTATTAGCATATCACCTGGATCTAGGAAGTGAACATGTACTTGTAGATCCCCCAGGATGTTCCTTCAGAAAGTCTGTCGCGTCCCATACTTGTTTATCAACCACAATCCAGCAATCTTCGGGCGTGTTGTGACCTGCGATTTGCTCAACAGAGAGCAGTTTCTCTGACATTGTGCTGCCTCAATAGAAATTAGTAGTCACTCAAAAAAAAAAAAAAAGAACGTAGAAAGAAACCTAAGACCAAGAAATCGCATGCATTAATAACACTCGCTCTCTGTCCGTTCCCCGCGAATTAAGAATGCGGAGAAGATCGGGTCCACTTATGTCGGTCTTTTCCCCGGTTCGATCATTGTTTATCCTTCTTCTAGATAATATACGTTGCTCTATTAAAATCCAGGTCACATATCGGCTTTCAATTTGCTTACTAGTCAGTATCATTCTAGTTAATTATCTGCGAAAAAAAAATATCAATTATGTCTCGGTGTTGATACCCCGAACGGTAACTGGTTTTCAGGATGGACTCGGTGGATTGCCGAGCATGTCGGGATTCTCACCGGTCGTTTTCTTGCAGAACGAAAATGAGGGTATCTGTAACAGTCCTACGGACAATAAAATCTATAAATAATGTCAGCGCAAGCAATCTTATTCCATGGACTAGGACGAAGCCAAAAGACCATGTTTCACCAAGCAGAAACCATTTTACACGAGTCCTTATGCCGTATCCACAATCCCAAAGTTGCTACTGTTAAGACTAAAAAGGCACCAATAACATCTCCTTCACGTTCCACAATGGCTCGCCCTGATATCGTTCAACGACAATGGCTTCTTAACTAAACCAGCACCAAAGCTGCTCGACCCATTGGTATTCTGTAAGACCTTCGGGTGGTACGCGTTGCTTGGCTATGGCCAAAAACTGGCATTCGAGCTGTCCTGTAGATGGAGCTCCTATCGCGACACGATCGAAAAGGCGTAATCGGGTTATGTTTCTGACTCTCTTGATACCCTCGCACGTCTTTGTGTTGAGCAATGTGCTCCTCGACCGAGGTTTTGTCCGTGTGATAAAATGCTACTGTTTTCCGTATATATCCCGGTAGTGATGTACGATCTATGTCTCCAGCTACTATAACTTGCCAGCAGCCACAGAATCAAGCGAGTTCCACGATTTCAACCTCTTGTCGTTCAAACAATGAGAGTGCTTCCTGATATGAATCCTCGGTACACCTATCGTGACCACCTATCTCTTGGGAACCGCAATATCTCAAATTCTCCATATCTTCGATATCCCATGGGATGGTTGCGTTCTCAGTCGTGAGGTATAGTGGCAGGCCTGCTACTGTCAGCGACCATGGTTGCGGGGCAGGTCTTTCACACGAATGACTAGAAATGGACTGATAACTGCTGTGCCAAAGTGGGCTGGGAATGGGCAGTCAAGAATGTCAAACTCTTCGTAAGTAGGGTTGCGTAGCATCTCATTCCTGGTGAGAGTAAATGGGAGGACTACATGACGCGCAAAGTAACGATCAGGTGAGTTTGTTTCTTGAAATTTGTCACTGTAATGCTCTGGACTTGAATGTAGCTATCAAATTGAAGTCTTAAGCGAAGTGTTCTGATACGGGTGCTTCAATTCGGATTCTCTGGTTTGAGTCATAAATCTAGGCAGGTCATCAAGAACATAGAATACATGATCTACGTAGGGCACTAAGGTCGGGACGGGCGCTAGTCCCAATTAAGCTCTAGTTCCTAACCAAATAAAGTCATGTGTCTGATGACTCATCCCTGAATAATTCACCGAGCAGACATCACCGATTTCGACGCATCATCCGTCTGTACAGATATCAAAATACTGGGTAAAGGTGTACTAGGACCACGGCTTAGGGTTGCTTCTTTCTATGCGTCTAGCATTGGCTGTAGGTAATAACATCTCAAGAAGCATTGGCTTGACCCGTGTCGGAGCTAGAGAGGGGAAGAATTCGTTTCTTCCACGGTTGTCTTTGTATAGTTCAGGTATGTTCGAGTTGACTCATATCCGGTCTGGTGTATAATACGGAGGCTTCTTAAGTGGAAGCTGTAGTGTTCATATTACCTTTACTCACCGCTGTCGCAGCTTTCACTAGTAGACCTTTCTTCCCTCTTTTGATCAATCAAAAATCTTTCTCTACTTCTCGTGCTTTCTCCACCGCCAAAATGAGTCACTCCAGTAAGCTTTTAAGATATGTGGATGTGAGTATACTCTAGAAGGTTGTGATGGGGGTGCCGCAACTAATTTTTGACCAGATTGGAATCAACCTCAGTGACCCCGTTTTCCGGGGAGAATATCATGGGAGACAAGTTCACGATAGTGATATGGATGACATTATCCAGCGTGCGCGCGATGTAGGATGCGAGAAATTTATGGTCACCGGCTCTGATCTGGAAGAGTCTCGTCGTGTCATGGAATTATCTCGCAACTATTGTGAGTCCAGTCGCTCTCCCTCCTGTTTAGCTCTTCTAACAATCCCATTTTATAGCTGGCTTCTGCTATGGAACTGTCGGTGTGCATCCTTGCCAGGCAAAGGCCTTTGATGAATACCCCGGTGGCCCTTCGAGGATGCTTGAGGAGCTCAAGGCCCTGGCTCTGGAGTCGAAGCAATGCGGACACGCTGTAGCCTTTGGCGAGATTGGCTTGGACTACGATCGACTATTCCTTAGTGCCAAAGAACCACAGCTCAAGTATTTTGAAGCTCAACTAGACCTTGCAGTCGACATTCAGCTTCCGCTTTTCCTGCACTCCCGTGCTGCCAGTGAAGACTTTGAGCAGCTGATCGCTCCAAGGTTGGCGAAGCTCCCGAAAAGAGGATTGGTACACAGCTTCACCGGAACCTTGGAAGAAATGCAACGAATGGTGGACTTGGGTCTCGATATTGGTGTCAACGGCTGTAGTCTGAAGACGGAGGAGAACCTTGAAGTGGCGAAGGCCATTCCTTTGGATAGAATTCAGATCGAAACGGATGGTCCCTGGGTAAGCGATATCTTACATTCCACCCTCAATTCATTTAATATCCTTGCTAACAATATGCAGTGCGAAATCCGTCCGTCCCATGCGTCATCCAAGCACTTGGCGGGTGCACCACCGTTGCCCAAGGCGGTTAAGAAGGAGAAATGGCAAAAGGGATTGATGGTCAAAGGCCGAAACGAACCAGTCTCTATCGTTCAAGTCGCACATGTCATCGCTAGTGTCAAGGAGATATCTGTGGAGGAAGTTTGTGAAGCGTACGTATACGGAGCTTGTTCAGTCGTCTTCATTTCTTTTGCTGACTTCATTTCACAGCGCTTGGAGGAACTCGATAAAGATGTTTGGGCTTGGAGAAGAAGCTTCATAACTGATATATTTCTCGCTAATGGGGGTTTGATAGAATCATAAAAAAGAAGAAAGAAAGAAAGAAAGAAAGAAAAGTAAAGGTTCTCAACATATACAAGCCATCTGTTCGATAGATGTAGCGATAAACTTCTTGTTTAAATCCTTCACTGGAAGGCAGCCAGAAGTCACGTTATTGCCTAAACAGGCTTGGTTGTAGTATATATTACTATTTCTATAGCCTCACCGCCCTGTGCCCTGTTTCTTTCCTTCTTTCTTTCTTCTCTTTCAAACAAAGCTCTTGTTACTCTCTCTTTCTTTCTCTTTGTCTTGATTTATTCAAGACAAGCTTTTCTTTCAACTTCTTGTGGTCTTTGAGCATCCACTTCGCTGTCTTCGAAGACTTCGTCAAAATGGCTACTACTTAGCACCCCGTTCATTCTCCCAATCCAGACCTGTTTATCCAGGCTTGTCTAGATCCTTGGTCTTTTGTCACTTGAGGCTCCCGTGGGTTGGTCGAAATTGCAGCTTTTCACGCGAGTCGCGCTTCTTCTAGTGTTCACCATTTCGTCTCTCGTTTTTAACCAATCTTTCACACTTTGGTCATCTTGCATTGCGCATCGACACATTCAAAATTGCTACATTTCCTGCATTCGGTTGAACCATGGCTTCACATCGGTTGGATAACCAGTCGCACGTCTTTCCCAATGGCCAAGTCGGTGAGTGCAATCGTGCAGTCCTTTTGTTACCGACTTTCTTCTCCTTCTCCCTAATTTGGCCTGACTAACCCAACTTGATCTGCCAGAGAGGACCCATGGTCGAGGCTCATCCTCTGAAAATGAATCAGATTTGCCGGACAAATTTGCTGAAGTGATGAGTGGCATATATCGCAGTTCCTTCCCGCAAGCGCATCATCTTCCGATCATGAAGAAGTTTGGGCTGAAAACTATTGTGTACGTTGGTCCCATATTCACATTTTTTGTCTTTTATGGCAAGCTATGCTAACAATATGACAGGACACTCGTTGATGAGCCCTACTCCCCTGCTCACGAAGCATTTCTCAGGGAAGGGAACATCACCCACCATCGAATCCTAGTACAGCCAAACAAAGAGTTGACTCTGAAGTCTCCCGACGCTGTCATCGCGAAGGTTGTGGAAATATTGGTCAATAGAAATAACCAGCCCGTCTTGGTGCATTGCAATAAAGGCAAGGTGAGCTACAGACCCCTGCGCTATTGATGGCAAAGTTAACATTGTCGGAAGCATCGTACCGGTTGCGTTATTGCCTGTTTGCGAAAGCTTCAAGGTTGGAGTCGTGACATGATCATTCCCGAATATCTGAGTTTTTCGCATCCCAAATCTCGTCTTCTTGATGAGAAATTCATTGAAGAATTTGATGTCTCTAAATTCACGCATTTGAGTCACAACCTGAGAGCACCTCTCTGGCCTCTTCCCGCCAGCCCAAAGCTCTGTCTCGATAATGACGAAGATTGTCCTTCACCTACCAAGTGGTATCTGCAACCGTCCGTGAGCAGGGTGAATGCTTTCTAAGCGCACTTACTTTTCATGCAATTAGGTGATGCTACGCGTTCAAGATTGTATAGGCGTATTCTTCTTAGGAGTCACATGCGCTGTGGTCGGACTTTCTTTTATATCCATGATTTTCTGTATTAATGTTACACGGCTATGATAGCAATATCTGGAATAGTAAGGATTGGTTAATTTTCATAAAGGGATATAAGCTATTTTATTTCGAATACGATGACTCGATAGATTTTTCTCGTCAAATTTCACGGTGGTCTTTCCAAGATTACATGGATCATATCACGTACATTTCTGGCATATTCATCGGTCATTCAAAATTGCTAACAGAGCATATCATCAAAATCCTCGGCAGCAATCTTGTTCATATGAGTAGATGCGGCAGTCGGGGGAGAGCTCATGTTTTCTTCAATACAATCCGACGTAAGCATTTCGCTGTCACTCTGAACAACCTGATTGGAATAGTTCCCAGCGGCTGGTGCTGGCACATAGAATCCAGCGTGTTGGTCTACGCATCGTATATCCTCTAAATTTGGTTCGTCAAAGTCCATGTTCTCGCTCTCATCGATCGTGCTGCCGAGCATGTCGATCGATAGGTTTGTGTAATCCTCCGTGATTGAAAGGATTGATTCTTCATCATCTTTTGTATTTCGCTCCTGTGATTCTTCTAGGGATTCAAATTCGAGCTCTTCTATATCTGTTCCAAGGTAATAGTCCGAATCGTTGGAGTCTGTGTTGTCGTCTTCGTCGTCTTCGTCGTCTAAGAGGGTGGTATATTCTGGTGTCAAGTAGCGTTTATCTGAGGAAGATGCGTGTTCCAGCGGACTCAGATTCTTCGATGCTCCGGGTTTATAGAGTTGTTTCTGGGCGATTCGCCAGAGGGACTGCTTTAGTGCTGTTCTCACGGTAGATGTGTTTCCTGCGATGGACGGGTTGAGTTGAGTCTGAGAATTGGGATTGCGTGACGACTTCAGGTTATTTCGCTTTTCTCGCAGCTTGGGATCCTTGGATACCTCGATTATAGACACGATCGAGCTCGCTATGGATGAAATGAATTGCGATCGTTGGTTCATGGCCTAACCATACGCAGGAGTCGTCAATTAGGGCTCTATCTCACTTCGTACGAAAGTACTCACCTCGCGGTATCCATGGCTAAAGATGGCAGGAGAAATTGTTGAGAGAGACTTGAGATCATCACTTTTAGATGCCTTGGCCCCCTTGTTCGCTCGTTGATTGTCGGCTATGAGATTGCGAAAACCAACGTTGAATAACGTATGAAATCCGTTCTCAGAGTCAATTTTTGGACTCTTTGGTAGCTGTGAACAGCGCTCTGGAGAGGGCAAAGGAAGTTGGAAGAATTCCTCCAGCCCTTGGAATGGTTTTGCGAATATTAAAGCACAAGTCCTATCATTCTTGAACCTTTCCAATGAAATATCAGCCTCTAATAAATCTGTAAATGAACCCCCAGGCACTGAAGAACTAGTTATATCCCGCTGTACCTGTTCGTTGTGCCGAGTAAATTCCAGGGAAATGTAGATCGTAGACAATCGAGCAAGCGGGATTCCGTGGGGAGGAATGGCATCATGCGTGCTTCGCAACTTCGCTCGTATCCGTGACGCTTTTGTGGCTGGGTGTTTTGTTGTTCTGCGTAGTCCGAAAGAAAGCTGAAACGTTGTCGACTTATCGCCATGATCGCAGCTCTTGAAAAGAACATTGAGACCTAAATCCAGCCAAAGCTATACCGTTTATCAATAAGTGCGCTATGAGGTCCGCTAGCAGTGACAGGTACCTTTGAATGGCAGAAAATTTCCCCAATCTGCGAGACGAACGTCGAGGCAGGACGAGCAAGATCGGGCTCTACACCGACACATATATGGACTTTAAGCTCTGGGGCCTGGTCCACCCATAATGTACCCCTTTCGAATTGCTCCTTTAGCTCTATAGTGTTTATTGAGTCAGAAGCGTCGTTAGGAGGGAGGATCAAAGCTGTAGCACATTGGGTGAGGCTCAGATTCGACCCTGAGGAAATGAGAGTGGTCGTTCCTAGGTCAATTTCAAGGGCCATTGAGCGATTGACTATAGATAAAAGTAATTTTCCATGTTATACAAACAGTGAGCAATGGAGATCTGCGGGTGTAATGGATTAGAGATGAGAGGAATAGCTTCGAGGTGTCATCAGCACATGACAGGCCAAGCCGCAAGATATATATCTGAGGTACGATGCGAGTTAACTACAACCGTCGTATTAACTAACCAATCCCCTGCTTATCAACCCAGCCTTACACAGACAGATATAGACAAAACACTTCTAATATCTATTTGGTTTTTCTATCTTCTTTTTGTTCCCTGCTGTAGGATTGTATGTGCTATAGATAGAACGCTTATCGATAAGATATCACGTGTGCCGTTCCTGATTACTTGGCTCTCCGCGGGCAAATGCGAACAATGGATGAGACACCATGCGACCACCAATTAGCAATGTCCAGGAATGAAGGACGCGATCCTCTCCTGGCTGGGCCTCAGAGCCTGCACGAGCTTGAATCACAATCTTTGCTTACTGATACCCCTGACAGTGAAGCTGACCTGGTAATTCATCCAGCTCCTGTCACTCCATCCCCGATTTCGCCTTCCGCCCCCAGTCCTGCGATAGCTCAACCTGCCCCCGGCGGACAGCGTCGCACTCCTCGCACCACAAATCGCGTTCGCTTTGACCTTGACGATGAATCGGAAGGGGATAGTCGCTCAGATCGCCAAACTCGTGTCTCAGAGGATTCATCATGGCTGGACGACGAGGATTATGCCCGCGCGGACCACGACAGGTTAGAGGGAAGCGGCAGGGGCCCGATGGCGCCTCTGTTGACAGACATGGAAGCTCCCAGCGTGACACTTGCAACGTCCGAAGATTATTTCCCCGAAGAACATCTGGAGAGCGCAAGACCAAGGAGTGGAATGCGGATGGCGTTCATGAACATGGCGAATAGTATCATTGGGGCCGGAATAATTGGACAGTCGTATGCCCTTCGACAGTCTGGCATGATGATGGGAATAATCCTTTTAACGGCGCTTACTGTCGCGGTTGACTGGACAATTCGTTTGATCGTGGTCAATTCCAAATTGAGTGGCGCAGACTCGTTTCAGGCGACGATGCAGCATTGCTTCGGTAGAAGTGGCCTCATTGCCATCTCAATTGCCCAATGGGCCTTTGCATATGGTGGAATGATTGCTTTCTGTATTATCGTGGGAGATACTATTCCACACGTGTTGACCGCTTTGTTTCCTTCCCTCCGAGATATGGCATTCCTTTGGCTTCTTACTGATAGACGGGCCATCATCGTGCTTTTCGTCATGGGCATTTCGTATCCCCTGTCAATGTATCGGGACATCGCTAAGGTTCGATTTGACATCCCGCGTCTAGAATAACCAAGGCTGATAAATCAGTAGTTGGGGAAAGCATCGACGTTGGCATTGATAAGCATGATAGTCATCGTGGTTGCTGTGATCACCCAAGTATTCCGCGTCCCTCAAGAAACTCGCGGCGATGTGAAGGGCTTGCTTTGGGTGAATTCCGGATTTTTCCAAGCTGTTGGTGTAATATCATTCGGTGCGTCTAAATCAACTGAATCTAGGTCTCAAGAGGAATTCCTTGCTGATAGTCTGATTTATGTATAGCCTTCGTCTGCCGTATGTTGCACTGCATCCATCCCAACGTTTCATCGTGCTGACTCTCCGATAGACCATAACAGCCTCCTTATCTACGGATCGCTCAAGAAACCGACCATGGATCGGTTTGCCATGGTCACCCATTACTCTACCGGGGTTTCTTTGCTCATGTGCCTGACCATGGCCCTTACCGGCTTCCTTGCATTCGGGTCCAATACCCAGGGAAATGTGTTGAACAATTTTCCATCGGACAATATCATGGTCAACATAGCACGACTGTAGGGCTTTCACTCATCTGCAACTCATAGTACCTGGACTAATCTGAACAGTTGCTTCGGGTTGAATATGCTCACGACACTGCCACTGGAGGCATTTGTCTGTCGATCTGTCATGTTGACTTATTACTTCCCCGATGAACCTTTCAACGTGAACCGTCATCTGCTATTCACTACTGCCCTTGTCTTGTCGTCAATGCTTATTTCCTTGATCACCTGTGATCTCGGGGCTGTGTTTGAACTGATCGGAGCCACGAGTGCGGCTGCTCTGGCCTACATCTTCCCTCCTCTTTGCTATGTCAAATTGAGTACTGCGAGCCGGAAGGAGAAGATACCTGCGTACTTGTGCATAGCATTTGGCATCATAGTTATGGGTGTTAGCTTGCTGCAGGCGGTTGTGAAGATGATAAAGGGTATCTTTACTGCCATTGTTCCTATGGACCACAAGGAAGATTTGCTAACATGTTCTCATCCTAGGCGAGAGCGGCTCCGGTACCTGCAATTAAGAACGAGCGTCGTGTTTGAATCCTACTCTTCTGTTTTATGCATCTCTAGACATTAGACCTGTTTCTTTTTTTTTTTCTTTTCTTTTCTTTTCTTTTCTTTTCTTTTCTTTTCTTTTCTTTTCTTTTCTTTTTCTTTTCTTTTAGTTTCAAGTTTTTGATCATTCTCAACAGACTGTACATATTCTGTCTTCGAATACATTGTCACTTACCTACTTCACTTACAGGTATTCAGCTATGTATACATTCCATGCGAAAATCCCTGTAACTTCATCTTAGATCTGAATCTACCTATCAAATTGAGAATGTTAATGCTTTTTGTCGGGTTGGAAACAAAAAGAAAAAGAAATTATCTTTTTGTATGCAAACAATTTCAATGTATGCCTTTCCTTTTTGGGAAATATAGCGTTTGTTCCTCTGGGGGTTACAGCAACCCGTTCCTCTTCTCTTCTTCCATCCACCTAACTTCTCTCCATCTCTCCTCCCTAGTTCTCTATCCTTTATTCATTCGTTTTCATGACCCTACCTGCTTCTGTTGTCTTACCTTTGTCTGCTTTTCCTGAGAAGGCTGCTAACCAGACAGACCACTTCTCGTTGAAGACAAATCTATCGCAGCTCCTTTGAGACAGCTCTTAAGCTGCTGCTGTATCCTGGACTAATTCCACATTCCCCTCCTGTGTTATTCCAGGCGCGTACCATTACTTCTCGCTTTTTTAACACTGCAATCAGTCAATTTACCCTGCTCTTTAGCCAAGGAATTCACTCGGGCGACAGAACTCCCAAGAGGGGCTGCCTCGACCACTTCCCGCCTCAACGCTCTTTTCTTTTCTTTTCTTTTTTTTTTTTTTTTTTTTTTTTTTTTTTTTTTTTTTTTTTTTTTTTTTTTGTGATACACGCTTCTTGACAAAACGCAAAAATGGAGTCTGCACAGCTGGACCCAGCAGCTGTTGAGCGGCTTAAAAGGCTGCAGTTGGTACGTGATTAGTTTGTCATTTTACTTGGTCTTCAGAATTGAACAGGGATGTAAGAGCTGACTCGGGCCACAATATGAACAGGCAGATTTGGGCACTGCCAGACGAGAACATATCTCAACTACAGACGGCAAGAAGGTCAAGGAAATCCACCCTGACCGTATTGAAGCGACTAGGATGGCAAACCTGGTTGGATCTGAGGCACAACAGGCGGCTCAGGCAAATAAAGCACGTCTCGCTGGTTGGGCAAGTGAGTAGTGCTCTCAGACATTCCTGATTCAAAGCCCCTGACTAAACCATGCAACAGATGTGTACAAAGATATTGGGGACACAAAGGACTTGGAGCATCTTGACAATCTACTGGATGGTCAAAGTCACCGTGCGCGCTTGGGTGCCTTGATATTCGCAAGTGGTGGACAAGCCTACACAAAGTCTGTCACCAGAAAAGACAACTTTCTCAAAGTTGCAGAGACGGACTACGGCAGAGGACATGGCAGACGCTCAAATCCTGAGGGTCGTGGCGGTGGTGCCAGGGGTAAAAGAGGCCGCAAGCCAACTATGCATGCCTCTAAGTAAGTTTTTCAAAGCCTTGAACGATCAACACGGTTACACAATACTGATCGTGAGCCAGTTCTGCTCCGGCTAAGACCCCCAAGCAGCGAGCGGTTACGAAAATAGGTCGCCATATAGTCGAACCTTCCGGTCGTCCACGGTTGGATCCTGCGCTCGATTCTAACAATGACTCCAATAAGAAGAGTCGGGAAGAGGTCAAAGCTCGAAGAAAATCTGGTGAGTGAAGACTCAAACTATTTTTGAAACTGTAGTACCTGACCTATCGTACTCAGAAGATGGAGCAAAGAAAACAAACCTCAGAACTAGACGTCCGGTGTAAGTGCAGCTCCCATCCTTCATGCACCGCTTCTCTAATTGCCTGCAGTGTTGGTGATTATGCTCGCATTCTTAGCCCTCCTGAAAGTTTCCTTGCTATAGCCCGTAGCATGATCAACACTAAGACTTCTGATGATACTCCTGCTCCAGGCCAAACGCCTGAGACTAGGCTCGCCGGTCCGCTGAAGGGACCCAACCCACCTACAAAGGATAATCCAGTTACTCCTGAGAAGGGACCGAGTGCCGCCAGAATTGCCAAGAGAGTTGTTGCTCAGCCAAAAGAAGCCCGAAAGTCTCCTCCGTTCCACAGTCCGGCAACCATGAAAGCACAGGTCCCCGTTGCTTCTACTTCGGCAACCAATACGCCCGCAAGATCTATAAATTCGAAAGCAAACGTCCCTGCGGCTCCTGTTACGCCCACGAAAGGTATACCTTCGAGAGAAAATGCTTCTGCTGCTCCTACCTTGCCATCAAACATGCAAAAAATCCCCAAAACAAGCGCTACTGCTACTTCAGTGAACACGCCCACGAAAGGAACAGCCCCGAAGGCCAACATTCCTGTGGCTTCTGCTCTATCAGCGAGAATACCCACAGCACCAAAAGCGAATGTTCATTCTATTTCTAGCTCGCCAGCGAAAACACCCGTTCAAAGTACAGTCTTGAAAGCGAACGGCCCTGTTACTCCCATCTCGTCAGCAAACACAGCCGCGAAAGGCACAGCCCCAAAACCCAATATCTCTGCTGCTTCTGTTCCTCCAGTTAACGAGCATAAAGACCCTAAGCCAACGAGCCCAGATCATCCTGAAAAGTCTTCTGTCCCTGACCTGATGAGCAAGCAGGCAGACAATGCAGAGCCAAGTACCGCAAAGAAACCGATTGGTCAGTTGCAGCCATCGGGATCCCAGAATGTCATGGCTACAAAGACGGAGTGTGAACATGTTAAGGCCAATGTCGAAAAAACCGAAGAATTATTGCTCGATTTCGGCACAACGCCATCTGATTCAAGCCCATTGAGCGATATCATGGCAAGCCCTGCAATTCAGGATCTAGAAGGAATTGACTTTAGACATTCCCCTGACTCTGTTACTGCACATGGATCTAACATCCTCGAGTCTACAAAAAGCCCTGAGCAGCCGCCCAACGGACGAAGTATCGCTGATTATCAACACGAGATTTCACTCCTCAGTGCCTTGCTGGAGAGCACTACCCTTGGAGATCTTGGAGAGGAATTCTGCGAAAGGTTGAAGCAGTGCAAGAAAGAACTCGAAGAACTCTGCCAAGTTGAGCGAAGCGGGAATTCAGCTGTAAACACGCCTGTTAAGCATGAGAGGATCTCATCCATCTCTCCACCTGACGGCGCCAGTGTACGACTCAAACAGGCAGTTGCTGCACCTCCGTTCTACCCCCGCGTCAGCAGTTTCAGTGGATATCGTTCTCCGACAAACAGTATCTCAAGTGATTCAACGGCACCACCCCCGACACCGGTTCCAATCCGGCGTGTAGCAAGTCCAATCCGGGTTCCACCTGCTCCAGCTGAACCGGAATCGACCACCTCTGATCACATATTTGGTGACCATTTGCTTCCTGGTAGACATTCACATATTACATCCTCGTTGGGAGAGGTTTCATTAACGTCACATACTTCTTCTGATGGTAAGCAAATAACCAGCATATCTTTCCAGATAAAAGTTCCTCATGGATTTAGAACCTAGCACGACGCAAGTGGGCTCCTCAATCCCACCTCGCGAAACGGTTCTGAAGAACGTGAATATCCCGGTTTTCGAGAGTAAAGTCAAAGCTAAATCATCCACTCAGCCGGATGCATCCAGCAATGTGCCTTTGCCGCAAATCGTCGAGTCTAAAACCTATGATTGTTCTGCATCGTCTGCTTCAGGCGCAATGCTGGAAGTACCAAAGAGCCGACCTACTCCCCAGGTCATCAGCAGTGTGCAGGAGACCGAGCCGGCCGTGAGCACCTTGATGCAGTCCATACATGCAGTCCAGCAACCTGCGAAGAAGCATGCACGGAACGCCTCTTTTTCACAGAAGACTGATTCTGTTGCTCGTGTCAACCCTGCTGCCCAAGAAGCCTCATTGCCATTGCAACGTCCGCCCATAACAACGATCGCCAAGGATGTGAAACAGCCAGAATCGAAGTTCATTTCAATGAGCCAATCCACTGTCCCGAAGGAACCGACACGCCAACCCACCCCAGTGAGTAGTTCGTTGGGCCAATCTGTTCACGCTCACCCTCAAGAGGCACCAGCAACATACCAACCTGTTCCAGTCGGTCCCAAGGCTGATTCGAAAGCAAGCCCAGCTTTAGGTGGCCTCATGAGCTCGAGATATGCATCGTGAATTACGACGAATCCGGCACACCGCTTGTCAGATCCAAGCGCTAGCTACAGGTAGTTACCTTGAGTCTAGGATCAGGTCTTTTTGTAGTGTTTCGTGTCTTTGCACATCTTGCTGTACTTTTTCCTTTTCTCTTTTTTCTTCTTCCACTTACTCTCCTTTTCTGTGGCTCGACTGGTCTTTCGTTCTTTTTACGAAGATATGCCATAAAAGAAATGATTTTTTTTCCCCCTTTCGTTTCCTTCTCCATTCATCTGATTTGTCTCTTCTTTTTTCAGATAATATATTAGGAATGATAATCTTAACTATGGAGCCCGATAGTTTGATCACTTGTCTATCTCAACCTGCTTCAGAAGAAAACGACCAACAATTGCATGCTCTCGCAGATGTACGCTGCTCATGGGTATACATACTAGTACTATATAAGACAGGTTTCGACGCGTGAGTCGAACAATATGTAGCCAATAACGAGGGGAAAAAAAAAAAAAAAAAAGGAACGTCGCGAATACCATACAATCAAATCTGTTCCATGCCATGTTATTCTCATAGCCAGAACGCCATTCCACTCATGAACACCAGGGTACTAATGACCAAGACCAGACGCGCGTAAAATAAATGAAAGCCTTCTATTTCCTCTGCTTGATCGCTCTAGAAAACGTTATTGTTGCGGTTGCTGTGGCTGATTCGGATCACCCGCGTTGAATCTAGGCCTCTTAGGATCAACAACGCCAGGTATGGAACCAAAGCCATCGGCAGTGGCAGCCGCATTGGTCACATCATTTAACGGGGGCCTCTTGCCATTGATATTCTGCGGTCCAACGCTGTCTCTATTCGTTAATGTAAAATTTGTTGCATTTCTGGTATCGAGATTCGGCCGTGTCAATGGCCGGTAGGACGAGGTCGATTGACCTCTGTTCATTGGACTGCCAAAACCGCCACTGCCAGGGGCGCCAATTTTTCGGTTCATGTCGGTGGAGGGGTTGACGAAGTCTCGTGTATTGTTTGTGGCGGGGGATGCGCCAGCAACCATGGGCTTTGATATGGGGATGCTCTTGCTGTGATCGACGCCTGCTGTCTTGCGGATGGAGGGGCTTTGGGCATGGGGGTCAAATTGTGGTGCTGCGGACGGGGCAGCTGGGTTATCTCGCAACATGTCAACTGCTCGGGCTGAGAAGAAGGAAGCCGATGGTGTTCCTGGCGGAGGCATGTCCGCGTTTTGACCAGGTTCACGTTTGACGGGACCCATGTTGTTGGCATCTGGTCCCTGATTGGGTCGTTGTTGACCTGATCGTGTTGTTGACGGATTCTGGAAGTTTTGAGGAGCGGGTGCAGGAGTAGGTCGTCGTAGATTAGAATTAATGGGCGCAGGATTTGGGCGCCCATTAGGCGGAGGTACAGAGACTTGTCGTGGAGGCGCGGGGTTCCAAGGTCTTTCAGGCTTAGAAGGCGTCACAACTGCTGGGTTAGAGCCACCGGGAGGCCCTGGCATATTGGCCAGAGGCCTTGGTTGGGAATCCTGGCCATTCACACCAGGCGTAAAAGGTTGCTGCTTTCCTTGTGGCTCTGGCTCCAGTGTAATTTCATCTGGGTTGCCGGTCTCAGGTACTCCAAAATCGGCTTCATCGAATAGGTCACCTATTGCCCGTCAGCGCTGGAAACAGATCAGAGGAACCGCCTCGCAACATACTTCCAAACTCTCCATCACCGTCAAATGTATCGACCTTCGCGGGTCGTGCAGCATCAGCAGGACGAGGAGGAAGGTCATCATCTTCTTGGGGAGGAGGTTTTGGCGGCGCGGTCTCTTTCTTGACTGGAGCGAAATCAGGATGACGGTGAAGTTCGTCTGGATTCCACCTTGCCTGGTAGAAATTAGTGTATGTTGGAGAACCAAGTGGGATGAGCTGCCGTACAGGTGTAGATTTCACTTTCGTCACTTTCGAGACATAATCTTTGTCGTAAATGCAGTTGCCCAGGACGTTGCCAAAGTTCCTCAATGCACGCTTCAGAGCATCTGTTGTCCCTTCCTTTTTGGCCTTTTCGAAAGCAGCGGCCTTTCCTTTGCAGTTTTCGATGTGTCCGTAGCCGATATCCTGCAGCATGTGTAAGTTGACTGACCCCCACCGGAATGAAGCGGGCTAAAAACGCACCTCATGAAAAGTCCCATCTTTTAGCGTTACCTTCACGATAACAGACAGTCCTAGACTGATCTTCCCCGTATGTTGACTCTCCTCGACCTGCACAACACGTGTATTAGCCCCAAGACCCATAGTCCCAACTACCCCTCCCTCAAAATCACGTACAAAATCAATCTGAACATTCTGAATCGAGCTCGACCATCCATTAAACCCAAACACCTCGTTCGCAAGATTAATACACTTATCCGCAGAGAGATAATGTACCCTCTGTCCTGCAGCACCCGGTCTCGACGAAATGTACTCGGGCCCCAACTTCTTATCGAGCCGTGCTTGGAGGGTGGCGATTTCTTTCGCGGTATATTCGCTCATTCGGCGTTGTGGTTCTTCAAATGGATTTCCTGACATCGTTCCGGTTGCGTTGGGCATCATTATGCATGCTGGGGTTGCTCGATGTTGGTCGCCAACACTGGGGAGAGACGCAGTTAGCTTGTTTTAAGCGTGGTCTTGGGGTTGATAGCTGTTAGCTCACGCTGGCATTATCAAGACACGATAATTAAGGCGAAATGAGCTGTGGGACCATCAGAAATTCAGCCCAAACACAAAAGTGGTATGGTAAGTGTAAAGCGATGTTGGATTGACTAATTGGTAATGCTGAGACGCGTGACGGATGTCGACACGGGCATATCGCGATATCACGTGATGATAACCAGATCATTACCAGTTTTCTTGTGTTCTCTTTTGATTTAATGTAGATTTGCAGTCAATGAAAATATGTTTAACCCAGAACTTTAGGTTTGTATTTCCGTAATTTGAAGAGGTATCGTTATACCGAGGTTCAGTCTAGCACTATGGGAATAGCTACCAAGGTAGATAGTCGGATCAAGGTGTGCCGGTCAAAGTATCAGACAACTCTTCCGGCATTTTCATAACCATTCGACATTCATGAGCCCATTATCGTCTTGCTTCGCTAATAATGTCTGATATTGAAGGTGCATTTGTCTCTGGAAAAGGGAAGGGGACGAAAGGGAAAAAAAAAAAAAACAGATCCGAGATTACTGAATGACAAGACTTGCACTAGGAATGAGGCCAAGGTCCTTCAAGCTCTCGCCGAAAAACTCATCGTTGAACACTTTTCGGGGGAAGGTCTGCAGAAAGCTTGTCACATCGACATCGTCTTGTTCTTTCAAGGCCGCGGTAACCTCAAAAAGTGTCGTGGTGACTGGGAACGTCTTCATGACATTGCCTTTGGGCGTCTGGAATCTCATACGGGTCTCTGTGTAGGCGGAGGCAGGCTTGGAGGCAACAGGGCCGGAGGTTGTCGGACCAGCAGCGGGTGCCGGCTGAGGAGGTGCTTGGCCAGCTCTTTCGGCCTTCTCCTGTTCAGCTTTCAACCGTCGCGCTTCCTTGTCTGCTTCGATCTTGGCCTTGACGCGCTTTTTTGCTTCGATGTCATCCTGCCTCTCTTGCCTCTTCTTTTGTGCCTCTTTCAACCGTTGTTTCTTATCGAGTTCCTCCTTGATGTCCTGGGATTCCTTGGTGCTCTTCCTTTTGATTTCCTGAGGATGATGTTAGAGAAGACAATAAAGAGCTTGAGGAGCAATAGATTCCATACCTCATTTCGCTTCTTGTCAGCTTTTTCCTGCTCGCCCTGCACCGCTCGCTTCGCTGCGAGTTTCTCCCTCAGATCCTCCAGTTTTTGCTTCTTTTGCTCTTCCGTCAAAGGTGCAATTTCCTCTGTTGATTCCGCGAAGTCGACATGTTCAGACTTGGACGCGTGGAATTCCGCTTGGGCTTGACTCCGGAACTTCTTGCCACACTCATTGCAAACCAGACTGCGAGGGACCTCGCCAGGTTGGAGCGCTGGACCTTCCTCCGACTCCTGTTCAGCTGCGGCAGCTTTGATTTCTTCGAGGGACTTGTCTTGATTCACTTCGAGCCATTCGAGAGCACCCTGGACTGGACCATGTAGGTTAGCCAAGGGAACCGATCGCGATGTATTTGTGGAAAAGAGACTTACTACCACCGCCCTTAGAGACCGCCAACTGCGCTCTTTCTTGGTCAAAGCCCATCTCAATGAGCTGGTCCAGGTCGGAACTAGCCATGGTGCAATCTGTCGTCAAAAGGTGGGGTAATCTCTGTGCAACGTTGATACAAGCGTCAAAAGAGGCTGTAAGACGAATATGAAGTATTGAGGTCGCCAAGCCAGAAAGAAATCAGAAAGGTACCTGGAGAAAAAAGAGAGTAGATAGGTGTAGCTGACTGTAGAGAAGAAGGGACGCTGGTAGAGAAGGTGACGTATCGTTACTGCCGGGCGGAGAGCCAGACAGTTTGCGGGATGGCCCGCATTCCTGCTCCAGCAATTTACCCCAGGGGTACAGGACGATTGAAATGTTCTGGAACTTTTCTGTATTCCTGGCGATTCAGCTCCAATTGTATCATGCGGAGCAGATCTTACGTCTTCTGGCTGCTCTTGGATTTTATGATCTGCCTATAAAGTACTACTACGTGCGATTTCCGGTTATGCAGAACCAGAATTCTCCAATTGGACAACACAGCAGTGTGCTGTTGGTTTGTCTATTCCTTGGACGGAACAGTTCCAAGGGGAATACTACATACTACGCCCGGATTGGCTTGGCTGTAGCTGTTTCTGATACCTAATTCATATGCGCTTTGAGTTGATCTGGTCCACGGTCAAACGGCATGTATGCCATCAAAACACGCCAACCTTACCGTTATTAGGCACCGTCGTTGTACAGTCGATTATCCGATAGGAAACAGCAAGTACTCGAGTGACCATGCGCGCGACATGGCTCTTAAGAGGCGCGGGATGGACAAGGAGCGGATCCGCAATTTTTATGTAGCCCGCTCGGCAGATATTTTTAGTGACACGCTGATAGGGTCGAGATCCAAAGGATCAATGAGTTGTTCGACTGAGCAATGCTGGGTCTGTATTCAGTCGCACAAATCGCAAAATTCCTGCCATCAAATGTAATTCCTGCCAACTTGGACACGAGAAAAACGGCCGAAATATCCCAAAAATGCGCAGAACAGATCACATGTGCCCCATCGCAATCCAAGTCGTTTTGGGTTTGCAACGAAAGACCCGAGGATGTAAGTAAGAAATAAAAAAACATTGTGGATCCCCGGAAATTCGACGGGCAATAGTCTGGAAACTAAAGTGGATGACACTGATCGATATGCCATGCCACCTCGATCAGGGACTTAACGTCGTTCAACAGTAGTACGTAGCTCTTATAGAGAAGATCATTGATGCAATGCGTGCAAAAAGGAAATGCTCCATGTGTCTCCAAAGAGCACTGTTAGATGACATCACCTGACCTGAGTGCTGAGTCAGCGCCACTGGCCAATTGGCAGGAGCGATGGAAGATAGGCACGGAAAGTCATCATCACCGAGCGTCGCTCTCCCTGGCCGTTACGGAGTCAACTTTCTTTTTTTTTTTTTTCCTTTCCTTCTTCCTCCCTTGACCCCTCGTCTTTCTTCCACTTTGCTCTGCTCTCCAGCTTTATTCCCTTGTGTAATTTTACCTCTTAAATCTCGTTGCGCACACGCTGTTTGCTCCCTTCTCCCTGTTGTGGTGTCCATAATGTCTGTCGTCCTCAACCCGCCCGAGTTGGGCTTCAAGCGTGCGTCTTACCTTCCCATATTCATCGTACCCGCAATCACTTGTCTAATCGAACTTCTACAGGACCCTTCAACCATGAGGTCTGCCAGGTTTTGGAACTCTACAATGAGAACCCAGAGGCCATTGTTTTTAAGGTACGGATATCCCCCCTCTTTTAATCGAGAAGGCATCGCAAGCTGACAAGTGTCCGTCTTAGGTCAAAACTACCGCTCCCAAACAGTACGTACCCTGTTTATCCTACTATCCTGCTATATACATCTCGAGAACAATCAACTAAATCGTCGCAGCTACTGTGTTCGACCCAACTCCGGCCGTATAGAACCTGGGAAACATGTGGGCGTCCAAGGTCAGTATAACATGTGCGTGGCACTCGTATGGATGATATGCTGATTAAGAAGTAGTTCTGCTGCAGGCTATGAAGGATGAGCCCCCGCTCGATGCCAAGTGCAAGGACAAATTCCTAGTTCAGACAGTCGCGGTCACGGGTGACTTGGAGTTCGCAAACGTTACTTCCATCGTATGTTTTGTCATTCCATATCATGCTTCGACACACGTCTAACAACCGCATAGTTCGAGAAATCCCCCAAATCGTCGGTTCAGGAACGCAAGATTCGCGTGAATTGGCTGGCCCAAGACTTGGATGCTAGCCAGGGCGGAGAAGCCAATGGCACTGTATGTTCCAAGACATGCTTTGTATATCTGTGCATGTACTTACAATAGATAGACCGCATCCGACGAAGAACACCCGGCACAGACCTCGCCCGTCGCAAATTACGAAACCCCCGCTGTCGGATTGACCAAGAAGAGTGCGGAGACTTCCCCTATCCCGCCTCCGGATTTCAACGAGAAACCAAAGCAAGAACCTTCCCGGACGAACGAGACCAAATCAAGTGCTACCGAATCGCCTTCCGTCAATGAACTCAAGGCCAAGCTCGTCGAAGCCAACTCACAGATTGAAAGACTCAAGGAGAAGGTTTCCGACAACGGACTGAGGCAGCGCAAGATCGGAATCGACTCTAAAGAGCCGTCCTCATCAATGTTGCAACAGCAGCAGGCTCAGCCAGCACTTGCGGGTGTTCCAATCCAAATAGTGGCGAGTCTTTGTTTGCTAAGTTTTTTGATCGCCTACATCTTCTTCTAGTCACTCGTCGACTCGGATTTTTCCTTTCTCATATCTTCTATTCTGCAGCCAGTTGTATTCTTTTTCTGGTTTCTTTTTCTTTTCAGACACTTCTTTTTACCCTTCTTTGTTACTATGGTCTTTACTTTCTTCGATTATCCCCATCCTTCCCTTTGGTGTTTCAACATTGTTGCTCTTTAGTTATTGTCGCCATGCGCTTTGTTTCCTTTGTTAATATCATGATATCACCCAATCGGAGACAGCGAGTCACAGTTCAATTGCATATGAAACAACAAAGGAGGATGGCTTTGTCAATTGACTGGTCAAATAAGCAATACTATTGCGTCATCAACCCTACCGTTGCCTTGCCATGGGTTTGCTATCGTTATCCCTGTTTCGTTGAGCGGTTTACAAACAATAATTGTTTTTTCTTGCGACGAATGTATATGTCCAGTCAAGTGCTGAATTAATTCATGACGTTATGGTTAATTCCAAATACTGTTCTAGTAGGTACATAAGAGTCGATATTCGTACAGCCATATGCGAAAAAAAAAAAAAAAAAAAAAAAGGTATGAGATAATATAACCGAGAAAACAATGCATGATTCAAACCTAGTTCTGAATCTCGCTCTCCTTCCACCCATCCCCTTCTTCCGGGCCGTTCGATGCACCCGAAATCCCCTCGCCAGCACGTCCAGCATTAGCATTAGAACTACCACCAACAACACGACCGCCCTGCGCACGCTTCACACGACACCACATGCCCACATTCTTGTCCAGGATGAAGGTCCAGATCACCCAAACCCAGCTCCGGTGGCAGGGCAACGGCTCGTAGAATTCACTCGCAATGCGGTGCAGTGTATATAGTCTCGTCCATGGGATGGCAGGGAAGTCATGGTGCTCATTATGCAAACCAACATTATAAGTCAGAATGTTGAGAGGACCGTAGTACGAGTACGTCTCCGGCGGGGGAAGATTCGCAACTTCTTTAGGCATTCCATTGGAGCCACCGTTCATCTTCCGCCGCTGAATGCTCTCCGTTCCCTTCCCATCCCCAACTTTCTCGAAAATATAGTGCTCCGCGATAAAATGCCCGGCACACGGATGCAGCGAACCCGCCAGTAACGCGCTCAGCAGCAGATATAGCAGTGGCTGCAGCGAGCCCCCGGAGATTTTCGTTAAGGCATAGTCAAAAGAGAATTGGGTCATGATGTTTATCAAATGAATGCGCGAGAATGGCGGAGAGTAAACGAAGGCAGGACGGATAGCGTAGAAGAGTAGCTGGAAGGTGCAGAAGAAGGCTTTTCCGAGGAGTGAGTCGAGGACGAAGGCTTCGAGAGCGGTGGGTAGGTCTGTGTCGAGGCCGGTTACGCCGAGGGATTTATGGTGGGTTAGATGGTAAGGCTATTCATTTTATTAGATTCCTGCTCCTAATATCTCTGATGTCCCTGAGAATAATTGGTAGGGTACGGGGAACATACACGAAATGCAGCACTATACGGAATCCCAATGGGAATATTCGCAAAAATCGCCAATAACCGATTCGCCATGGGTGACCGGAACGCCAGGTTATGTGAGATCTCATGGATAGCCAAGAACAAGTTCTGGTTGGAGGTGGCTCCGATCACGTAGGCCGTGAGGAGGAATTTCCATGAGAGCATGGAGGTATCGCGAAGGAGATAGGCGCAGCATACTTGGAGGGAAACGACGAAGAGCACGGTGTATTTGGTTAGGGGTTCGGGGCCACAGAGTTTCGTTACCTAGATGGAGGGTCGTTAGCATAATTGATTCTCAATTAAGATGATTGATTGAACAGGTGGTTGAAAGGGCTAGTGCCGGCTTGGAATAACACGGCGGACCTACTTCTGGATGGGCTTTGATGATTGCTTGTCGTCTAGAGCGATGCGGCTCCTCTGTGTATGTCCAAAAGAAGTGGTCCTCGACGAGAGACGACTCTGGTGGCGAGATTCGTCCAAACTCTTGCTGTTGACCTTGACCGTTTTTCTGTTCCTGATTCTTTGCGGCGGACGCGCGGAGATGCGGTGCGGAATCGGTTTGGGTGGCCGATGCCATGATTGATGATCGTGGTATAATGCGTGGTGAAAGATTGAATTTCACGCCATGAGGGAGATGGAAAAGAGAAAAGGTTGCAACAACGTCTAAAGCAAGTGCAGATGTCGATCCGGAGGGCGCACATTAAATTCCCCTACAGTAAAGATCCATGTGGGGCTACGGCGGCATTGATGGGCCGATATGATACGACAGTCTCCTGATCAAGTGTTTATTAATGCAGGCATACAAAAAGGTGCTTTCAATTTTATGTGAGTCTGTACATCGTTGCTTTTCATGAGTCTTGAAATGCTTAGTAGTCGTCGCCGCGACTGATAACCTCCTTCACGGTAGGCCGGAGAACAACAGTCTGCGTCGTCAGTCTTGAAATTAAGTGAAAATAAAGTAGAAGAACATACATGTTCATATTGGGCCGTGTATGAGCCCTTGACATCGCAAAGTGGCGGGTAATCTTGCACGATACCCGAGTTCACCAGGTTGTTCAACTGCATGAATTAGCATACTGATTTGTGGATTCCTCGCTATGGTTACTTACCCCGAGAAGATATTTATCTTGACCCAACCGATCGAGATAGCGACGGCAGAAGGGGAGGGTGCCAAAGTTCTTGTTGATCACATTCAACAAGTTCTTCGCCGACGAAACGCGCAAAGGCACCTTGGGCGCATCGGGGACCAGGGCGTAGTGCGAGCATTCCATCTAATAATAATCAGCACATTACTTTTCCGAAGGAGTCGTTCGTGACACGTACGTCGTCTCTCACGTAGCCCTTCCCGGTACTACCGAAAGTCTCAATGGCAAAGACCTCACCCTCCTCCATCTTAGTTTGGTCCCCACCCTTGACGATGGGGACACTTTTGCCGCCGTGGATGATGTGCTGGTCGATGTTGTGGCCATTCAGGTTCCGGATACATTTGACCGGGTGCATTGTCCCGTTGATTTCGACTTCGTAGCTCTCCATGGTCTCTTGGACAGCTGCACCAATGTCGCACACACGGACATCAATACCGGCTTCCTGCAACAAATCATAAGTTATACGTCCCTCGGCAGCTCGTAACTCAATAGATCAGGTAGGAACGCACCCGAATACCGGTGTTGGTAGCATCTTTAACGGCAGCCAATAAAGGATCATAAACCGGATCGAAAGCCATAGTAAATGCACTATCAACAATCCGACCATTGAGATGCGCTCCAAAATCAACCTTCATGACATCCCCCTGCTGCAACACCATCTTATTACCCGCGTTCGGGGTATAGTGCGCGGCACAATGGTTGATACTCAATCCACAAGGGAATCCCATGCCACCTTTAATGTTATCACCCTCTTCCAGACCCTGGTGGCCAGTCAAAGCACGGACCGAGTCCTCAATACCCTCCGCAATTTCCGTAAGGGTCTGGCCGGGCTTGATGTTCTTCTGGGCATATTGACGCACTTGACGGTGAACCTCCGCACCTTGCCGGTACTCCTGCAAGAAATCATTGTTCATACGGTCCAAGTATCGCTTCTCCTCGCTGGTCGTGCGGTATGTGTTGTCGTCTTTGTATTCGCAGATCTCACCCTCAGGGAACTGGCCGTTGGGGAAGAGGTTCGTCAAGGCAACGCGGGGCGGGGAGCTTTGAACCTTAGCGCCACCCTTCTTTTTCTTCTTTGGCTTGCGCTTCTTCTTCTTCGCAGCTGTGTCCGGGTCTGGGTTAGCATGCGCATGGGGGTAACGAGGTGTCGGGATTTCCGGGACGTAATGCAAACGCACCTCCGCCTGTTCCTGCTTCCGGTGCAGCGTTTCCTTCCTCCTTGTCATCGTCAGAGTCATCCTCTGCCTCAACGGTTTCTGTTTGGCTAGCAGCCGGGGCATCTGCTTTCCCTGCGGCAGTCTGGCCGTTGACTATGAAAATTCGATATCTTATCAGTTGCGGTACAAAAAAAAAAACGAAATTTTTGACAAAAGCAGTGGTAAATGTGATAATGCTTCACTTACGGTCAAGCTTCTCCAACTTCTCACTAGCCTGAGCCGCCATGGTGAAATAAAGATAGAGTGGGCAAAGGACAGCGTCGGGATGTTTGGAAGAAAATGAAGGAGGGGAAGTTTGCCGCGAGAGGTTCGATGCCAAGCCTTACCGAACTGGGTAGTATAGTATAGGGTTGTATAGTGATAAAAATACCCTAGGAATGGAGGTAGTATACAATTGATATCCTATTAAGTCTTTGGGGGTGATTTATAGACAAATGTGTTTAAGAATAGTTAGTGGTATGCATCAATTTCTACCACTGTCTGTACCATACAGTACCACCCTACAAGTACAGGCAGGCCGTAGATACAATCAATCCACTTAACCAACTAAAAAGCCAAATAAACTAAGGAAAAAAAAAAAAACACACAAACAAGCACTGAAATAAAACAAAGCCGATCTGCTAGCCCATGCCTAGTCTAGTGTCGACCCCTGGACCCTCACCCATTCGTACGATCAGATAAAGCTCGGATCCTCAACCGATGACGCACATCTTCCTCCGATGGCGGCGACTTTTGTTCCTTTCTTCCCACCTCAGACCATCTCACTTTGCTACTCGGCCATTTAAGAACCGACATTCTCCTTCATCAGCAATTTTACTCAAATACTTATCTTTTTCTTTCGATGATACGAAGTTTTTCAGCGCAGAATGCCGTCGCCGCGAGTGAGAAGCGCCGCCTCGTTCCTGAGCCATCACCACCACCAGCACCATCAGCGTCAATGTCCAAATGCATCCACAGCGAATAAGAAATTCTTCTCAACAACACTGGGTCTCTACGCAGCAAGCTGCGAGCCCACCCTCTACGAAATTCTCGACGTCCCGGTAACAGCATCAGCAGCAGAAATCAAAAAGTCCTCCCCATCTTCTCCACCCATTCCACGCCCTAACTAACCCTAGCGCGACAGACAATTCTATTCCCTCTCCCTTCGCCATCACCCCGACCGCAACCGCACTGATCCAGCTGCCTCCTCCCGCTTTGCCCGCATCTCCTCCGCCTACCAAACCCTCGGCAACGCCGCAAAACGCACCTCCTACGACCGCGACCACGGCATCCACACATCCCCCTCGTCAACATACAGCACCGCCAACCCAGGCCAACACCCAATGGGCAGCTACAGCAGCCACAGCGCGAATGTGAACAGCAAGGGGGCATCGTATGCGGGGTCGCGGCCCGCGAGCGGGTTGAGTAAACGGCGGGGGCCGTTTAGGGGGCCGCCGCCCAGTTTCTATGCGCATGGAGGGTATGGGAATCAAGCAGGAAGGAGGGCACCACATGGGGGCGCGGCAGGGTGGGCTTCGTCGTCGTATGCTGGGACTGGAGCTGCGGAGGAGGATCCGTTGGCATTTTTGCATAGGAATCCGATTTATCATTTTAATGCGCGCGGGCATTATAAAACGCAGTCAGCAGAGGATGCGAGGCGGCAGGAGCGGCGGTCCAAGGCTATGGGTGCTGAGTTGAATGAACAGCATATTGGCAAGCCTGGGGATTTTGCGTTTCGCTTTCTCGTCGTCTTCGGTATTCTTATGGGGGCGGGGGCTATGACTGGGGTTCTTTGGAAGCCCAAGGATCAGAAAAATCCTAAGAAAGCTGCCATGATATGATTTTTTCGTTTGTTCTTTTAAGGTGTTATAGGATGGGTGGTCATGTCATTTTCAGTCCATATACGGTACACTAGCGATTTTCTTTCGTTATTCTTGTTTTGGTCACATCATATCCAAGTATATACAGGTCCCGGAAGACTAGGCAAATCAACAGATAATTAACCAAAAGGATATTGTTATAGAAATGATATACAATGAATCATTGAGCTCTACGATACATGCATGACTAAGGAAATCCGACATAGCAATGGCCGCCCTTTCCATCTTCGGCAATCTATGGCACCTGTCCGTGGTGCATTAAAGGGGAATACCCCAACCTCTATGCTATTCCATTCTCTGGCAAAGTGCTGGCATGTCGAAGAAATTCAAGTGCGGTTCGGAAGGTAGGCAGTCGAAATAACTCGCTTAGGACTCGAAGGTGAAGTTGGCGCCAACCTTGTGGGCAGCCTGGTTCAGGTTCTGGGTATCAAAGGAAGCACCAAGGCCGAGGGTGACACCAGGGCGGAGGAGAACGTTGTAAGCCAGGGCGGCAATACCACGGTCGTTGATCTTGGCCTAAATTGCGAGACTCGTTAGCAACATCTCCTTGAAGAACGCGCATCTTCCAGAATCATACCTTGGCGAAAGAAGAGGGATCCAAGCGGTACTTGCTGGCAACCTCAAGGCCGACGGAGTTACCAGCCTTAGAGTCCCAGGTAGCCTTAGCACCAGCCTCAACCTGAGCGTTGACACGGTGGTAATAGCTGGCGGAGAAAACGCTCAAGTTGTTACCGGCGGTGATGGCGGCAGTGTACTGAGGAACGCTGTAGCCAATGGCAGCGGAGTACTTGGTGATGGCAGCCTTCTGGACGTCGTAGCCACCCTCAGCACCGACGACGAAACCCTCGTGGCCAAGAACAGCATCGAAGTTGGCGGTGGGGCCGCTGAGGAGGTCGAAGAAAGCACGAGCGTGCAGGTTGGGCTGCTGGAAGTAGAGGTTGAGCTTGGCACCCTTGGACTGCTTGGTGGGGAGGTACTGGGTGAGGATCTCAGCCTTGAGACCCTTGGCGACGTTGTTGTCGAGCTCAAGCTTGGTGTCGAGGGCGTTGGCGGTGGTCCAAGCCTGGGTAAGTGTGAGACCTGGCCGAGGTAAAAGCATTAGCATCATGCGATGGTGAGTAAACTGAGACATGAAATTCAACTTGACCGATCTGGAAATCGAGTGACCACATGAAAAAAGGAATCTCATGGGTCTAGGCTCGCCCAGACGGTCACAATTTGGATCGGGAGGCTTTTGTATGCTGGGGCGTTTACCGGTAGGCTTGTCGACATATTTGGCCTCGAGCTATATCATCCGCAAATATCCCGATTAGCAAGCATCCTATAGGTGGGGCTGGTAAACAGAGACTTACGGAGCCAGCAATAGGACCCTCATGGGCAGACTTGCCCTTCACATTGAAGGTGACGCCATTAGGAGCCTTAGACTTAACCTCGAGGCTAGCTATAAGCAAGAATTCCGTCAGCTCAATTGCGCACAAACAAAAATTTCCACGGTCGACGAGATGGGTGATGGGTTTATTTACCAGGGCTAACGTGGTAGAAGTCCTTGTTAAGAAGCTAGAAAATGGACAATCAGCATGGTGGCTCTTTCTCGGGTTCGCGACAAGTTGTCGTGTTTATTATGATTTTTCCCGTAACGAGAAAAATCACGACAACCGGGTAAGATTCGAAGAGCATACGTCGTTGGCCGCCTTGGAGATGTCGGAGAAAGCAGCAGGAGCAGACATTTTGCAGGTAGAGTGGAGGGACGGTGGGGTCACGTCGCAAACAAGGAGATAAAGAGCCTGAAGTGGTGGTAGTGAAGGGGAGTAGAAGAGATGAAAGGGAGAGGGGAGAAGAGGATGAGGTGAAGTCGCCCAACAACACCGATGGGGAGCCACGGGAATGGCCCCGGCTGCTGATTGGCTGTTTCTCGCTTCCCGGCAAAACCCAGTTCCCGGGCTCCGTGACGTCGATGTTCCTGTCCGTCATTTCCCTACGAGTTCCGATATGGCACCGTTTCGGTCATATATCTTCTAAGAATGCAGATTACGGATATCAGTGATAATAGGCAGGGCAGATATTTACATAATAATTCATGCAGAACCGCATTGGGAAGGACTGTCTACTATCCATTCAAAATATATTATTCTTGACATGGTACAAAGTAACTATTCCCTATAGGATGTACAACTATTATCAGGCAAGGTGGCAGAGTGTTCTGAGGCACTGCATTTAGGCTGCAGTATCAAAAGGTACATGGGTTATCCTTGTCACCACAAGTTTACTGTATTTTTTGGGTGCCCTAGACAGGTAGGGTTGGAACAGTATCAGTGCTTACTGTCTGCGTGAAGATGTCTGAGGACCCCTTTCATTTTGCCGATTATTACCGCCTACATTCTGCCAGTTCCAATTAATCCGATATGATGCAATAACTTCATGTATATGGTTTACATACTATCTAGTAGGCAGTTGAAATCCATCCTCTATTTCATGTCATGTCTCAACTGCTGCTTTACTCAGCAATTCCTAGCGTGAAGGTGAAATATGTGGATGGCCTGATAGGCAGGCGGCCAAAACGGCAAGGGTCTTCTAACTCCCTCACTCCACAATATATACAAATTAGTCAACTCTATTAAATTTCTACCAACCCAACCTAAGCAACCTAAAGGGATATAATCACAGATGCTGGAGCTCAAAAGATATATCAAATTACAAAACGCTGAATCGTCAGCATATATGGTATGGCAATTGCACCCTATACAATATCGCAGATAGAAAAGTCTAAAGGCGCTTTTTAATTCCCTCTTTCCCTTTTATTTTGTCTATCCCTGTCGTTCAAACAAGCTCGTAACCATGTCGAAATGATGTTTACTCGGTGCTGTCGTACTTGGCAACGTGGGTAGCAATAGCCCTGATGACTGAGTGTTAGTATACGATGCCAACTATCCCGTGCAAGAAAGGGAAACATACCGTCCACTGGGGTCAGTCTGCTTGGACCATTTGGGGACCCAGCGCTCGACGGTCGATGCGCAGTAGGGGGGGAAGTGCTCATCGAACATCGTACGATACCAGTAACTACTTAAGTTAGCCTCATAATCTTTCTCGCAATTTGAAATGCTAGACAACATACGCTTCCTTGGTGTCGGGAATGTCGGCACCCCACTCAGGCTTGGGGTTCTTCATCATCTCATCAGTGACGTGGAGCTCAGCGTGGTCCTTCAGACCGTCAATCCAGCTGTAGCCGACACCATCACTGAATTGCTCCTTCTGGCGCCAAAGGATCTTCTCTGGCAGGTAAGGAGCAACGTCGGGCTCCTCCCGAGTGTCGAATGCTTTCCGCATGATGTATTTCTCGATGCGGTCTCCGGTGATCATCTTCTCGGAGGGGTCAATGCCCATGGCGGTCTCCAGGAATCCCTTGTCGAGGAAAGGCACACGGGCCTCAAGACCCCATGCGGAAGTCGACTTGTTGGCTCTGAGGCAGTCTGCCAGGTGCAGGTTCTTGACACGGCGGACGGTCTCCTGGTGGAATTCTTCCTTGTTGGGGGCAGCGTGAAAGTAGAGGTAACCACCGAAAATCTCGTCACTTCCCTCACCACTCAGAACCATCTTGACACCCATAGCCTTGATCTTGCGGCTCAATAGATACATCGGGGTCGAAGCACGGATGGTGGTGACATCGTAGGTCTCCAGGTGGTAAATAACATCAGAAAGAGCATCGATACCGTCCTGGACAGTGAATGTGAAAGCGTGGTGCTTGGTTCCAAGGAATCGGGCAACTTCAAGAGCAGCCTCAGTGTCGGGAGCACCGGGGAGACCAATAGAGAAAGAGTGCAACTGCTGGAGGATGGGAGCGCTCGAGAGCTCATTGGAGTCATCGATGCCAACCAAGTCAGACGAGCCGGTCTGCTGCTGGGCGGCGACCTTGGTGGCCTCATGCATGCGCAAAGTTTCCCGCTGGGCGATAGACGCCACCAAGCTGGAGTCTAAACCACCGGACAGCAAGACACCGTAGGGGACCTCAGCCATCAGACGCTTCCGGACAGCCTTCTCAAAGGTATGACGGAGGTTCTTGTAATCAATAGGTGTCGTAGGAATTTTGGTCGGATCCCACCATGTCGGCTCGAAGTATCTGGTCATGGAACCGGTCTTGGAGTCGTAAACGTGACCAGGGGGGAAAGCCTCGACCTTATCGCAAACGGGGTGCAAGCATTTCAACTCCGAGGCGAAGTAAACAGCACCAGGGGTCTGAGAAGACCATCCGATGTAGAAACTGGTGATACCAATAGGGTCGCGTGCCGCAACAACTCGGTCCTGCTTCTTGTCATAGAGAACCCAGGAAAACATGCCATCAAGGTGCTTGGGCGCATCAAGGCCATATTGCATGTACTTAAAGCGGTCAGCCCTTCCTTCCGTTATAAGGTTGAAGTAACCAGAACATACCAAAGGAATTACAACTTCACAATCCGAATGTGTCTTGAACTCGTAGGGAACGGTCAATCCCTTTCTGACGATACGGTGGTTGTAGATCTCGCCGTTGACAGCGAGGGCGAGGGAGCCATCTTCGTTAACGAGGGGCTGAGCACCAGTGTCTTCAGAAGCAAATTTAGCAACCGGGGCCATATTGGGAAAGAAACCATTATTGGCGCAATCACATACCGACGCCGACAATACTCAGACGTTCGTGGGCAAGAACTGTGATTCCGTTAACATCCCCGTCAAAACATATATACAATACCTATTATATCCTTACTTGTTTGTCCGTCAAGGAAGTTTCCACCTGTCAAAGTACGTTAGAGCCGTGTTTCTCCATCAATGGTGGACACTGCGATGCGGTAGTGACTCACTCCAGTCAGGTCCACGGTGGCGGACACTGCAATAAGACGCAGTCAGTTTCCAATTCGACTCAATTCGGTATAAGAAAAGGGGCCCTTACGCCTTGGCCATGCGCAGAGCCGTAGGCTTGAACTTTTGCACATCGGGGTGACTGTTGGACTTGATCAGCGAAATTCGATCACCGGAGGGGCAACCCTAGTAGTTATGGAAGTATGGGTAGTGTGGGGAGGAAAGAGGGTACGCACCGGTGACACGCGAAAATACCGCACATGTTTGGGCACTCAAGCGATTGAATTGAATATGAAGAAACAGAGAAACAGAGAGGAGAATAGGAGGGAGAAAGGGAATGGCCGAGTCCAATCTGGGGGAAGTCTGGAAATTTTAACAGCGGGGCGGAAGCCGAGCGAGGGGCGATTTCGGCAGAAAAACTGTGACCTGACTCACTCGATAAGATAAGCGGCCGGATTGGGCGGTCGGTCATTGGTCCCCGTACTGTACTTCCTCTTCGCTACTATCATTCTACAAGGATACTGCGAAGCAAACAATGCTTCATGGCAATTCTGATATAGCAAAAA